TTGGCGCGATTGTTGAAATTAAGTGTATCGTAAAGTTATATTCGGAAAGAATAAACCAGTTTTATTAAGTAAGGACTTGTGTCGCTAAAATTTCGTCGGAACGAAATTACGGAAAGTTAATTAACAAACGGAGACGAAACAATATATTCGTGTTCCTTTATCAAACAGGTATCGCATGGACTGGTATTTTAGGGCACATGCAATCTGCGTATCGCTAGTTCGAATCCCGTCAGCGATCACACTCACCCATTCAGCCGTGGGGGCGTTGTAATGTGACGGCCAACCCCACTATTATTTGGTAAAAAAAAAAGTTGTGGTAAGTGGTGTTGAAAAGCTGCCTCTCTCTTAGGGTCGGAGCAAGTGCGGTTTACTCCGACCCTCGTGTAGTACTAACCATCAACATTCAAGGACAACCTATCATGGTACGGAAGGGAGGAAGAGGTCTCAGAGTACCTGACCCTCCTAGGTCACAAAGACCTAAATTCCGATTCTTTCAGGGCAATGTCCATGTATGTACTACAATCACATTCTGTGTTTTGCAATCGCTACTAGAGTCCATATTGCAAATTACACATTTCACTAGTCAGAGACTAATCGAACATATTTTACATAAAATACCCTTTAAATATATTATTTTTAGTGTCTAACTAGTGTGGGGTTTATATGTCTGACATTAGGTGGCCTGATCACTTCTTTCATTTTAAAATAAATGTTAACTGGCGAGAGGTATTTAGGTCTACTTCCATCATGTATGTAATAACGGTCGAGCTCACAAAGTAGGTCATTTTTTTGCCAATTTTTCTTAAAGTAATTTATAGTATTATGCAAGAGTCTATCGGATACTGTTTGTATGTTTGCGTAATTGTGCATGAATTTTGATGAGGTGCTTGAAAAGCTGCCTTCCCTCTAGTTTCTCAGTTCAAAATTAGGGACGTCTGGCGCCGATAGCTTTACGTGAAACGTTTGTCAAATAAAGGGTAAGCAAGTAAAACACGTTGTCTTAACGAATGCAAGCTGTTTTGGTGTATAAAATATATACCGATGATAAAGAAAGATTATAGGAACGAAACAAATGAGCTTTAAGTTGTATTAATGACAGAATATGGAGGTAAGGAGAAATAGTCATTAAACAAAAAAAGTGTTTTCGGATATTCCTGGTGAAAAAGAGTATAAATTAAACACTTACTTTAGATAAACATTTAGAACATAAATTGGCTTTTCCTCATCAGAAGAAAGAGAGATACAGTGAGATTTGCATCAGTATTTTATTCAAATAATTTTAACACTGAGATTCTGAATTTAATAATACTCTTTGTTTCAACGACACAGAGCAGGACATCCTAGGACCTAAGGCTTTCAAAGGCAAAAATAATTGTTTCCCATTACATAACAGTACACATGAATGCAGTCTTTTAACGATGAACTATTGTGATGGCGTTTTTTCAGAATAATTGACTACGTACATAAAGGAAATGTCTGTCAGTCACTGTGGAGGAGTGTGACTCACTAAGAGTTGGAGTGGTTGATTACTGCACTAGAACTCTCCTATTGAACATTGCACTGTGTTACATATATTTAGATAATAGGAGATAGTTTGTTGTAATAAGATAATAGAAGTTAGCTTACTCTAGTTCTTAAAATTCCCAATCAAGCATTTAAGTCATACCTATATTTATATTGTACATTCAATAGAATTAAAGAAATATTTTAAACTTTAAGAATTAAATAACAACTCAAGCCCCCCCCCCCCCAGTGGAACAGCGGTATGTCTGCAGACTTACAACGTTAGAAACCGGGTTTCGATGCCCGTCATGGGCAGAGCACAGATAGCCCATTGTGTAGCTTTGTACTTAACTTCAAAAAACAAACGGACAAAAGAGCCAGAAGTAGATGCTACAGTGTCCCCCTCTAGTGGTGACAGAGCTATCCAAGGCAATCTGAGGGTCTCAGGTTCGAATCCCCGTCATACCAAACATGCTCGCCCTTTCAGCTGTGGGGTCGTTATAATGTGACGGTCAATCCCACTATTCGTTGGTAAAAGAGTAGCCAAAGAGTTGGCGGTGGCTGGTGATGACTAGCTGCCTTCCCTCTAGTCTTACACTGCTCAATTAGGGACGGCTGGCGCAGATAGCCCTCGTGGAAGTCAGAACTTTATTTTAATGTCCAGTAGTTGGTAAAATTAATTTATAGTGAACAACTTGCTGGAAGGTTTCTTTGTTGGAGACCACGTTTCGTCACATTTTCGTGAATTTTATTCAGGTCTTTAGTTTTATAGGCTTTTTTGAGTTTTTATGTAGTAAGGTGTCTATGATGGAAATAAAATAATTGTGTGATATTGTCTTGATTGCTTAGACAGAGGTGATTCTTGAATGGTTAGTTGATTAAAATCCCGAAGAGGATCCATCAAAGTTTATTCCATAGAAACGTCGTCTCATTATAAATCCATTTTATCACTGATCCACCTGGTAACCATGACCTCCAAAGAAGTTTAAACAATTGGTACTAAGTTGTGAGGCTTGTTAAGCATCGATAAAGCAATATCTTATCAGAAAAAAAAAAAAAGACGTTCTCTTGAAGTGGATAAGATACTGAATACATGTGACAAGAGAACTAACGGAATTGTGGTGTGTACACGTTTCTTTGTATAGAGATAATTAAAAGTGAACTTGTGGTAGAAACTATCTATTACTACAGATAACTGAAAGTAAACTTGTAATAGAAATTACTTACTACTATTTCTAGACCTATGTACAGTAACCACGCTGAATCTGATTGGGTTACAATAGCCAATCAGGAATCAAATATGAAAAGGTAAAGTGAACATTTCACTTATTGTTATGTTTTTCTTTTTTGAGTGACACTTATTAGTGCAGTGCTTTATCTGCAGGTGGGTTTTGTTAGCTTCTTACAACTTGAAGCATTTTAAACCTATTCAGAATGTAACTTGCCCAACTACGTGTACGTATAACCGAATTAGCACTTACCTCTGTTGTGAAAAAAAAAAGGTGACTATACAATTTTTAAATGTTTGTTACAAAGTGAGTGAACTAAGATCATAAATATCTATTTACCCATGACATTACTAAGATCATAAATATCTATTTACCCATGACATTACTAAGATCATAAATATCTATTTACCCATGACATTACTAAGATCATAAATATCTATTTACCCATGAAATTACTAAGATCATAAATGTATATTTATACCTATGACATTACTAAGATCATAAATATCTATTTACCCATGACATTACTAAGATCATAAATATCTATTTACCCATGACATTACTAAGATCATAAATATCTATTTACCAATGACATTAGTAAGATCATAAACATGTATTTACCCATGACATTACTAAGATCATAAATATCTATTTACCCATGGAATTACTAAGATCATAAGTATCTATTTACCCATGACATTACTAAGATCATAAATGTATATTTATACCCATGACATTACTAAGATCATAAGTATCTATTTACCCATGACATTAGTAAGATCATAAATATCTATTTACCCATGACATTACTAAGATCATAAATATCTATTTACCAATGACATTACTAAGTCCGCAGACATACCGCTGTGCCATTGGGGGTGATTTACCTCGAAATGCATCGTCTCGACGTTGAATTTTTACTCAGATATTTTGCTAATAATACAGAGAAAGATATCCACAAATGTTATTCACTGAAAATAGACTTAAATTCATACGTTCCTTTTCATTCAGCTTCACTTCAAAGCTAAAAAAATGTTTGAAGACACAATTAGTGTTATATATTTGTTTAATTTGATAATAAACAAGTTTCTTATTAAAATTATAAGTCTTTATATCAATCAACCATCCACAAAGTGTACCATATATGCGTATAAACCCACCCTAACTATCAGGATAACTACAACTGTGATTTATTGACTGTTCCACCTGTTCCTGTATAAGAAACTTATCGACGCTATTGCCCTGGTGTGGAAATTTACAAGTTTGAATAGCGGATACAAAGAAAAATTAATGTGAAATATTTCAATGAAACATGAACATCTAAAAACGCAAGTAACGAAGAGTGAATACTTTAATGTTCTAGATTTGAAGTTTTATTTTACAAAAATCAATGTAATATAATACATTTATGAAAACCTTGAACCACTGAAATATTAAGATACCAGCAGAGAACCACAAAACATTTGTGATCAAATTAGTATCTTTATTGCAACAGTACTTCTATAAATACAGGGATTCTAGAATAATGTATACAAATATAAGGGTACTGTCTGTTGTATGTCCATGTAACTACTTCGCAGGATGAGGATAGATCTTCACCAAAATTGGTATGGAGGTTTATTAGGTCCATACGGTTTTTACAATTACATATAAGGAAAGCAACTGTTCATGTCCTAAAATAACCTTTCAGAGATAAACGAACACTGTAACTTGTGAACGTTTTTTGCTTTAGTTTAGTTAGGGCTAAACTTTACATACTTAATGCTATCAATAAATAAGCTTATAATGATATTTTATGACCAAACGTTAATAAGTTTTTAATATGCTGCTGTACAAAACGTCTACTAAAGTATGTTTATATCCGCCTTTTGTTCACGTTCGTTGAAATAAAGTGCGCACGCATTTTCAGGACAGACAAAAACTGAGTATTATTAAAATAGATGGCCGAACTCTCGTGTACTTATTTCTGAAGTCGGACAGAGGTCAGGAAAAAGTGTAGTTTGGTTCTACAAGCCCATGTTTGCTCTCTGGTGGTGAGGTGTTTGTGGTTTGAACATAACTGAATACTTAACCAACTTAAAGACGCAATCATAATTAATCTATAAAGTCAAGTGTAATTCATTATTCCAGGAACTAATAATATTGCTTTTTTAGAGCATTTTTGTTTGTTCATGGTGGTATGTATATAGGCAAAGCGTGATTTCAGAAGCCGAAACATGTTTACCCTAAATTAAGTTTATTTTGGAAAATAATACATTTCATAGCCAAATACAGCAATATACAGTATCTCCATACCTGTACTGCCTTGAGATCTCTGGTATATCTGACAAGAGAAAAAATGTGTCGTATATGTAACAATAAGAAAACACAGAGGGTCACGTTGTTCGTATGATATTCATCTTTTCAAGTGGCTATCATTAATCTTTGTGCAACATGTAGCTGAATGCTTAAACGTACATTTTGTATGTTACTGTAAAACAGTCCACATGGCAAGTACATGTTATGGAGCGGAGCAGTGCTGGTAAGATAACATTTACTCAGTATAGAAACTATGTTGACATTTTTCTTTGATTAATCAGTGCTTTCAATTTAAAAAAAAAAATTAGAAAATAGTATGCTAATTTTAGGAAATAGCCAATACGCGAGGGGTCAACCGAGACCCCAGCGGGTATTGGGTGTTCAAAGCCCCAGGAAGCTACTGAATTTTCTGAGAGTGTAGTTGACTTCTAAATGGAGATTTTAAGATTAATAATTCACAAGACAACAAGAGAAATAGTTTTTGCAACCATCAGTACCTATGTTTTTCGAAAGCACCCCTTTCCTCTTCACCACGTGTAATCACCATTAAAATGACTCATAGCGAACACTGCTCAAATGAGTCTCATATTGGAAGTTCTATAAATAGTTTTCTGTACTTTCCCAAGGTTTTTGACGAATTAAAATAGGTTTTAGAAAAATATTTGAAAATGAATTCTAAGTTGTTTATTTGTTTGTAAGCCGGTATGTACGTACATCGATAATACATGGATAAAAGTACCGGGTATCGGCCCTTCTTGAAACCATTCTTTAGCATTCTATACAAGTTCTCAAACAAACAAGTCATAAACTTGTTCCCGAACTTCAGTTTGTAATTACGTTTCGACAGAAGATTAATTACCATATTTGATAGAAAAGCTCGATAGTCGGAGCTTCTGGATTCTGTCGGTTTAAAATTGATGATCTTTTTCTTTTAGGCCACATTCCACGTTAGTCTCTCTGAACTGTGCCTGTCGCTAGTATTGAACCTTAAATTTTAGCATTATAAATCATGAACCTTGCCGTTGAACCACTAGGAGAAGGCATTCAGTTTAAAAATATTCTTGAGAGTGAAATTAAAATAAACACGTTATTTGGTGTATGTGATAATAACTTTCATTTATCATAGATTAGTAATAACTGTTCATTCTTAACCCGATCATGATCTAAGGAGGTCGTAACGTCGTTCTTTGTTTTGTGTTTTAAATGAAAGTTTTTGATATCCATATCAGCCGTCTTTACTACATACATTGTAATAATTATTGTTTTGTTTTTCCTTGTTTTTCAAAGGACAAGCTTAATTCAATTGTTTCAAACTTCCAGATGTGCAAGGCTTTCATACCGGACATGATAGCAAAAAACCACGGCCATCTCGTTTCCATAGCAAGCCTTGCAGGACTGGGTGGAGTGGTGGGTCTTACTGACTACTGTGCTAGTAAGTTTGCTGCTGTGGGGTTCGATGAAACTTTGAGGTTGGAGATTAAAGCTGAGGGCTACGACGGAATCAAGTCCACGGTAGTTTGTCCGTTCTTCACCAACACGGGCATGTTCGCCGGAGCTACACCTGGGTAAAGATAAAAGTGTCTTGAGGAAGCTAAAAGTAGTCATAGATCAATTTGTTTAGAATGCAAACCTGAAAGAGAAGTAGAACAAGTTTATCGCAGAAATTAAAAGAGCCTGAAAAGTAACTCTTTCTTTAAAGACGTTGATAATATTTCTAGCTAGAAGTTATTAATAGTCAGGTAATTTTTTTGAGGATCATCTCTCTGTACTTATGTCATTGAGGATCTTTAATGTAACAGTTATTTTTACTGGCTTTTGTTGCAGAATTTTTGGATTTCTTAAACCAGAGTTTGTTGCTGACGAGATTATGTCCGCTGTTTTAACAAATCAGGAAATGCTTATTATCCCAAAGCTGTTTTACGTTATGTACATGCTCAAGTCGTAAGTTTTCGTTCACCATTTTGTTAGAATTTTTATGTTTTTAAGTTTATTGCCGCACTCTTAAGATTTTATTATGTATGCTTATTTTATTTTTTTGCTCTTTACTTAACAGTATACAGTTTTTTAATTGTTGCCAGGGTTAGTATCATATGCGATCACCTAAGCCTAATTAGTAATTAACTACTATTTTTTTTTATCTGTGTGCTAATTACTAACTAGTTTTATCCAATATTTCGGCTGCTATCGTAGTGTCGTCCTCAAAGAAGGATTTTTTCTGTATTGGTAGTGGCCGATTTCCATCCTGGGTCATCTTAAGGAAACAGAAAGACCAACAAAGGCTAGAATTGAGGAGCATACAGAACTCAGTACTACTAATATATCTGCTATAGCTCATCATGAGAAAGAAGAAGACCATACAATACATCAGAATACTACTAAAATAACATCATATGAACCACACGTGAGAAAAAGAACAAATATAAACCTACTACATCCACCTAAGTGATAACACAGCATGGAGGTCAACAAAACTTGAATACCTTTTTTGAAAGCATTTCAATGGTTAGTTGATCCAAGTTCAGTCGAGGATAGCACAACAGACGTCCCTCAAGAAGATTCAGGATTGAATCGCAGACACTACCAACACAAAAATAATTAGTCGTTCTCAGGACTTCCCCAAAGTGGGCTGCATATTAGCAACCGAAACATAGAATAAAATTAGTTGGTAATTAGCACTTGGTTATAGATATAAACAAGTTTTGACTAATTAATAGTTAAACTTAGGCGAACGCATGGGCTACTAATCGTGACAAAGACTGATACCTGATTGCCACAGCCTTATCGTAAGTACTGATATTCAGTTATTTTGTCTATGCTATTTTATACCGTTTTGTTGTCTTTTAATCATTTCCCATGTTCTTATTTTCTGACAGGTGGCTATAATGATTGTTTATGCTTTATTTCAACATTATTAAGTGTATATATTACGAACAGTATTGGGACAGCACATGTTGAGAAAGCAGAATCGTGTTTCGCCTTTGTTTTTGTTGATCATCAAAACATGGACTCTGTAACAAACAATTGCTTTTAGCCGTCGATCCACAGCTGGTAGATTACACTTCTACACTTTTCCAAAGAGGATCCAAATGTAGTGATCTTTTGAGCAATATACTTGCTTCCTTTCAGGCTGCGTACCAAAACGTCATACATTGGTTCAATTTTTAAAGTAAATTATGGATGTTATTTTTCACAAACCTCTAATAGACACAGTGTGTAGTGTTACCTAACGTTTTATATACTGAAAGAAACATGAATCTTTCCTACAGACCTACATAACAGCAGCCCTCCCCCCAGTGGCACAGCGGTAAGTCTGCGGACTTATAACGCTAGAAACCTAGTTTCAACACCAGTGCTGGGCACAGCAAAGGTAGCCCATTGTGTAGCTTTATGCTTAACTACGAAGAAATAAACAGAGCAGCGTTGTCCAAGATGCTAAAATACGTCAAAATATTCACAGTTCCAATAATTATCACCAGCGGAGTAAGTCTATTTAAGTCAAAACAAGCTCACATAATGGTACCACCTCATTCTTCAGAGTTCAGATAGTACAATCATATCTAAAAGCTAGAGTAAAACTAAGACTCATATTTAGAAAGCAAACAATGAATAGCAGGATTCTTAATTGTGGTTTTTCATTGTGCTTTGACTTTACATTCAAACATTTGTTATTAGTGGCTTATGGACTGCAGCCGCTTTTTGAAATCGAAAAGCATTGAGCTCCCTGCAAACAAAGAATTTGGTGACATGCACTCTTGAAATCTCATTAATGTCCTGGTTGTCAGGTATGATTACAGGTGTGCATTTTTACTTCGCAACACATTTCAAAGTTTCACTAGGTTAAAGAGTGATTAATTTTAGGTATTGAAGCCAATATTACACATTAAAATGTCTACTACTTTGGATCAGACTAACATAATTACAGTGATTTGCAAAAGTAGGGTTTTTTTTTTTTAAATGTTAAGTAACTCAGTTTTGTAGTTTTAACTTTCTTGTTTCAATACGTTTTGTAACATTAAAACTTTCTATATTACTATAGCTAGCTAGATTACATATATATATATATATATATATATTGATCCCAACTTGTCTTTATAAGATTAAAAAAATTTGTTATACTTGTAAGTATTGAAAAATATTGTTACGTCTCCGTTTGTTAATTGATTTTCCGTAACTTCGTTCCGACGAAACTTTAGCGACACAAGTCCTTACCTAATGAAACTGGTTTATTCTTTCCGAATATAACTTTAC